AAATATTTTTTTTATTTATATTACTGTAGATTAGACAATTTTTCCAATGTTGTTTTAGATTGTCTCTATTTAAAGTGGACTTGTAAGATACGGCGCGGCGTTTCGATAAGTTTCAAACCTTCATTTAATATTACATACAAATCAATATTCCCATATTCTATACTCCCACGAATACAATTTTACAATGAAAACATTTACAATGTTCCATACACTAGAAATAGATCAATTGTAGATTGACGTTGTTTCTCTATAATTTGTTTAATTTCTAATCTATAATATTTGTTGCTGAATTAACTTATTTTTTGGCATTTTTGTTAGAATAATATTTGAGATAGGCTTAGCCTCAGCAACTCGTTAAAAACATGTAATAATATCTAACAGTTACAAACATACAGGGTGGATACGCTTGATCTAATGTCAGAAATAATAGAAATATGCATAATATTTTTGTACACGATTCTCAATTTATATTAATCTTAAGTATTTTTGCTGTATCTATAATAAATAAGTACGGTATAACAAATATTATACAGGGTGAGTTTTGTCTAGTGTAAATATTTTCAGGGCTGGTAGATCTCGATAAAAGAAACATATTTCCTCTTTGCCGTTTTTCAAATAAGTCCAAAATAACCGAGATATTTTACTTTGAAAAGTGAGAACCACTGAATCTTTTCTGGGTATTCTGTGTTGTAAATTTAACCGACTATCTATATTGTCATATTATAAATAGGTATATTATGTTTTTTAACTAAAAATTTAAAAAAAATCCAAACATTTTCTCAAAAAATTTCAAACTTTCATATTTTTTTCGCGAAAAAACTTTATAGACGTGTTTATATTAAGTGGTCGAAATATAGTACCCCTAAATTTTTTTTACTTATTTAAGACTCACTCTGTATATCATAGTACAGGGTGTCCCACTAAGAATCGCCGTCGGCTGTATCTCGGAAAGTAGTAGTAGAGCTTACGGATTTTCACATTAGAAACTATAAAACTATAAACTGTTATTAAATAAACAATTTGTTTCTAAAATCAAGTACATACGTTTTTAAACAGTTATGTTTATACTTATTTTTGTTTCTATCATAACAAAAATACAACCTTTGGAGAGAAGTTTCTATAAAGGGCATTAAAAGAAATGAATAAATAATACCAGACATCGTTAGCAGTAGACAGTCTCACGCATCTATTATAGATCAAACAAGTTAAGGAGCTCAACCGTGACGTGTCAAATAAAGATTTATGTAAGGAAAAGCGACATTTAATACGATCAACGGTGTTGACTGCGACGATGATAAGTTTGTTGGGCACGTATCATGGCAGTTGTCGTGTTCGGGGAACTTTATCCAATTAGGTAATATTCTAAAATGCCCTAATGGTGTGTTTGGGAAGACTTTCAGAAGTGAAAATTGTAGCCACGTAACACTTAGATAGAGAATATATTAAATAATTAGCTTATTTTCAAGTTAAATTTTATTACAATTAAACACTTTTTCTTAGATATTCTTAATTTTTTCTTTTTATTTTGTTTTTCTACAATTACATTAAATTAGATTTTATTTTAAATGTTATATACAAATTATTACAAAGCGTATCAAAAATAAGGTTTACGTCTACAGTTTCATTTTTAACGTTTCAAAAAATCCGTCATTATTTTAAAAAAAAGTCACAGTAAAATTAATTTTTACTACGAACCAGTATTTTATACTAAAAAACGTAAGGCCCCGGTAATATCGCTCTATTTCATATTTATTTTATATTTCTTGTTTAATGCCAAATACAAAACAAGGTTGCTGTACAATAAAACACAGCTATTAATTGTAACGATTCGGCCTTACTTTATATCTATCCGATTCTTTTAATACTTTGGCATTGAGTTTTAGAGTTGTTATATGTCAAAGTTAGAAATCTCGGGCAGGCCTCTAGCGTAGAAAAACTTTTTTGCTGTATTAACGACCGCTATAACAAAACAAATAAAATGTTTATAGTTTCCCGAATTCACTACATTTGTAACGGTCGCTATAAACCCTCTTTTACTTAGTAGCAATAATGTTTTCTGACGATTGTGGCCAAGAGGGTTTTAGAAGATGTGCTGATGGTGCTTTTATCGTTTCAAATTTTGTTTTATGCGTACTTGACTCCTGTATAAATTCAGCCCAATCTTAATCTGTATTTTTTCCCATTATACCAATTTCAAAATGACTAGAAAAAATTCTTAGTGAGTTATGTTCAACAAGATATTTTGAAAAGATTTGAAATAAGGAGATATGTTATTTATTCAATATGACATGTCATTTTACCTATGTTATAGTATTTACTAGCGTAGAATATTTCAATCTTCGGTAATATTGTCACAAGAACAAGAGCAAACAAGAAATGTTAAGACATTAAAAAATAAAATATTTATTCACTTCCCTTTAAGCCATTGACCTGATATGTCTACATGCAGATCTTTTTAATACGTTTATGTAAATATCAATAATAATAAATAATGATAAAGTATAGACACGATATTAAACACAGTATCGTTCTATTCAAGTTCTTGAAGAAAATGTGTCCCATATAATATTAAATTATGTACCTACTATAAATAATAAAATAGTATAAAGTAATAAAAGTCAGTAATGTTAACAACGTTAAAAACGGGATTTTGTTTAAACATAAAATGCTTGACATAAAATGTGTTGTTTGTATTTAAAGTGACATTGTGGCATAATTTGGTTATTTAGTGACATAAGTTTGTACTCTATCTGGGCTTATGTTTTATGTTTATATTACGCATAAAGATGTTTTACAAATTTAAACTCATTTTAAAATAAAAATATATTTTTTAGAATTCGAGTTTATATGGCAAAACAGTAATTTATTTCTAAAATTCAAAATAAAAATGCTATTTTTGAGACTAATTTTTATCAATTAAAAATAAATAAAATAACAGAAGTAATAAAAGTTTGTTAAATTAATATTAAATAGTACTATAAAATGATGTGATTAACTGGTACAAGGATTTTGTACTTTGTAACTTTAAAATCAAAAAAGGTAGTAGAGATAATAGTAGTAATATTATTACGACATAACTTACAATAACATATTATTTATAATGCGTTGATGTAACTAATGATGGTTAAGAAAAGAGAGTGAGAATTGCAATTTTTTGTACTGAAAACAGGGTATGGTGATATTAAAATACTTGGGTCACAGCAGCATGAGTTAGATATTCAAAAAATAGTATTGCGTGTGACTCCATGTAGGTGTATGTATTATGAACTGTGAGTGAATAAACTTAAGTATGTTATATGCACCTGCCCTGTGTATGAGAACTGGTTTTCGGCTATTAAGTAAACAACTTAGTGGATACTGAAAATATAATTTCGAATATAATCATTTATATTAAAAACTTGAGTATAAAGGGTGAAATTTCAATGCATTTTCGACATAATTAAACCTCGTAACCGCAGTAAAAATATGCAATTTCATGAACATTCATTTAGTATTTAATATAATATGAATACATTATGAATACGAAATAAATTTAAATTTGCAGAAGTGACAAAATGACACTTTTCAAAATCGAAGAAATAAAAAACAAAGAATATATTTTTAACAGAAAGAAAAATGTAACTGAAAGCCGTTTATCGTTCTTGTACTCGTTTCCCTCATTTATTTTTATTACAGATTGGAGTTTTAAATTTCCGAAAACTCATAATTGAAAGGGGAAAGTCTTTTATGCTCGAGCGATTAATCGAACTAATTTCATACAAATCTCTTCTCCCGCCGAGTTCATCAAGGAAACTCATTTGGAATTTAAAAAGCCGAAGCGTCGAATTTAATGCCATTTCGGGCCGCTTCGTTTTCCACGTTTTAGATTTGCTCGGTCACTAAATAAATTCGATTTTGAAAAATGTTGCTTTAGGACATGATCGCTATTGACGACTGACTTAAATTGTCACGATTTCAAATTCAAAGAGTGTTATGGTCCTAGCGCACCTGTTATTATCATTCTTAAAACCATACATCTACATTTACATCTCATCATTTTACAATCTATTTGTTTTATATTGATAAAAATAATTTTAAAAGTAAAAACATATATCCCAAACATATGCAATCAGAGTGATCTGGCGGAGGGACAACGCTCTGGAGTGTGCCAAGTACTGGATATCCTGTATATAACCGCTGTGTGCATATACAGGGTGATTCCTGTAAGTCGGTCATACTTTCGAGGAATGATAGGGGATGTCAAAATATTGATTTTGATATAGCACACTATGGGTCAGAAATGCCTCTTACGCAAGATACAGGGTGTTAAAGTTTATGAAAAATTAAAGATACTTTTTAATAATTTTTTAACAGTTGAAGGTATGGTTATAAAATTTCATTATAGGAATCTACCTAACAGAGACACTTTAAATGTAAAAAGAAGAGGTTTTAGTTTCAATCAGTGGGGTAGATGTGATACGCATCGGGTAATTAAAAAAAATAGTACGCCACTGATAAAAATAAAAATTTCGGAGTTTTTTTATTCACTCGGTTTATTTCCAAAAAAAATTCCTCTTGCAACTTTCTCCTATCTAACACCATTTTGTCACAATGTAGTTGTCATCAAGATAATGTTTTATCAAGATAATGTTTTTTGAGTTAATATTAAAACATTTCAGTTTTTTCCGAAATATTCAAAATTAAAAAAAACAATTGAAGAAAAAACCTCATAGATATGTTTCTGGGGTCGAAATATACTACCCCTAAATATATTTGCACTTGACGCACCCTGTATATAAAAAAATAAATTTAAGTCTACAGTTCTGGTCGCTTCCAAGATGAATTTCACCTTCCACCTTTTTATTAATATACATCATATATTTATATATCTACATATTATGATAAAAATATATATTAATAAAAATAGTCAGATGCTATAGACTTTGCAGTTTTTAAACCTTATTTCTATGTGATGCATATTTCGTAATATTTACTTAAAATACAACTTTTTTTTTATTTACCTCAAAAGCTAAAGTTAATGCTGCTTTCTCTTGCCGTAGCTGTTCAGCTTGCTTTTTGTATACCAACATAGCTCGAACTGTTTCTTCCATTCTGAAACAAAGAAATATTTATTAACTACAGCTACGCAACTAAACCCTAACGAGATTTAAAAATGAATACGTCTAAGTCAAAATAACGCCCATTTTGGTAGACAACGTAATTTTATTTTTCTAACTATCACATTCAAATGTAAATAAAGATTTATTACATAAGCGTCACTACTACCCTATGCACAAAAAAACGGCATCGATGATAAACTTAGAGTGGCCAATCTCTAGACGTCATTTACTAAAAATTGACCTAAAACTAGTCAAAAACAGACTAAAAAAGGATAGAACACATAAATTTATTTCCAAGTATTTTTTCTCGAATTTTAAACTACACTATTTAAAAATCCTTTTTATTCAATATAAAAATAAATTACACACTTCTTAAGACCAACTGGCGGTAAACGCAACAAATCTTAAAGAAGAGTTACGTGCCAAGTAAATAACATCTAGGGCTAGACCTCACCAAAATTATCCTCCATTGTCATTCCCCATCCGTCTTTGACGCCGTTTTTTTTTTCGATCGTATGGCAGGTAAAAATGAATACGTTTTGTATATCCGAGCACAATAGTTTGTCTTTAAGAATTATAAAGGAAACCGATACAGATGAAGTGAATAGAATAATTGCTATAAAGAAACTCAAACTGCAATACATTTAATGCGGCGAATTAACTATACAGGGTGGTCCGAACTGTATTCCGGAAACTTCAGCAGCATATTCTGCAGATAAAAATAAGTAAAAAAGTTCGTATAAATGTATGTCATAAAATGTTTAGTTTCGGAAATACAGGGTGTAGAAGATTGATTTTTATTTCGATTTTTTTCCAAATAATTTCTGCAGTAACGTCAATATTTGGATGAAAATTGGTATCTGGGAGTTTTTTGACACGAGAAATTTGATTTTGATGTCAGTATGACTCCTACTAGTAGAGGGCGCCACCTACATATTTTTAACTGGATTGAAGAGTAATAACTTTTCGTCCGTACCTGTATAAAACTATTGAGTAAAATAATATGCATTTACGACGTTTTTTACGTAAAAAATGTCTCTTGGTAAAAATCGCTACGAGTATTGGTTTTTGAGATATTTGGAATCAAAATTATCAATACCTGTCATCATTGACATATAATTAAACATGTTGATTAAATAGTTATTAGACTCAGATCATAAATTTGAAAGTTTTTGTGCCAAAAGTTCAACAGAAACTGTTTTATCGTAATTTTTTTACAGAAAAATTTATGATTATTTAAAAAAAAACAAATTCCCAAACTTATTATTTCAGTGAAATAACTCTCTCTCTGCTCAACGTGTTTATTTTTTCTCAAAAATGACATGTATTGACTATTTCCATTCTAAATATCTTAAGAATGGTTGCTCGTAGCGATTTTTACAAAGATATATTTTTTATGTAAAAAGTCACAGAGATGTATATTTTTTCCCTCGGTAGTTTTATACAGGTACGGACAAAAAGTTATTACGCTTCAAAACAGTTAAACCACATGTAGGTGGCGCCCCCTACAAATAGGGGTCATATTGACATCAAAATCAAATTTCTCATGTCAAAAAACTCTCAGACACCAATTTTCATCGAAATATTGACGTTACTTCAGAAATTATTTGGAAAAAATTGAAATAAAAATGAAAATTCTACACCCTGTATATCTGAAACTAAGCATTTTAGGACATACACTTATACGAATATTTTTTACTTATTTTTATCTTCAGAATATGCTGCCGAAGTTCCCGGAATACAGTTCGGACCACCCTGTATATTATAGTTGTAATGCTACTAACATATTATGTACCTAAATACTTAAATAGATGTTTTCCTACACTAATTTTCGTATAGTGCTTAGTCGAGCAAAACTTACACAACGTAGTTTACACTCTTTAAAGACACTTACGTGAGTGGTAAACTATTAACCGAATGCAAGTCACTGAAAATATCCTTTATAACTTACTAACGTCTTCTCACCATATATCCCCAAGAACTTTAACTTCTGCGCATCTACATACTAAGCTAACCGTTTACTCTATAGCGTATTAATGCAACTACATATTATCTAACCCGAAGTCTGCTTAATTGACTTTAAAACTTGCATCAACAAACTCTCCTTCTCCAACTAAAACTTTCATTCTTCTACATGAGGTACCGAAATTGTTTTATTAACATGTTTAAACTCGGTTTAAGCTGAAGTTGTCGCTGAGACGGCATTTGCATGGAAATGGGAAAAGTCTAGAGCAGCAGTTCCAGATAAATAATGGCGGCGGATGCAGCTACATATTGGACGTTGTTTTTTAATTTGATTAATGATAAAATGACAAGAATAAAGGAAGTATTAGTTCTAAACTAAGTTTAATTTAATTTAAACTTCTTTAGTAATTAACTTTTATACGTGGGTACTTAATTAAAATAGAATTAATTTTAGGAACATACTATTATTATAATTAATTAAGATATAACTAAGTATCTTGATACTAATGAAATAACGAAGCAAAATCTTTGCAAAAAATCACTAATAAAAGTCTATCATAATAATGAAGTAATAAAATTTTGGATTAGACGTTAAAACGCTGCTGAGCTTGGAACACCCCCAAAAGGAAAGTTCCACTCCTCCAACTGCAACTCCTAGTGGATGACATACCAAGAATGTATAACTTTGAGAAACACCTCACTGTAGAATAAAGCAACAAAAATGATTGGAAGAGAGGAACGTTTGCTCAGCAGGTAAAATACCATACCATAATGTGTTATACTGATGCTTCCCAAACCAAAGCAAGAACAGGGATAGGAGTATTTGGACCGAAAACTAAATACTCCAAATCAATAGGTACCTACCCCAGCATTCTTCAAGCAGAAGTCTACGCTATTAAAAGATGCATACAACTTATCTTAGATAGGAACTATCGGAAACAAGAAATTACCATCTTATCTGATAGTCAAGCAGCATTTAAAGTGATCAACTCAGTAACCGTCAATTCGTAGAGAAGCCGAACAAATTAGTCAGAGATAATAAAGTTCTCCTACTCGGGGTGTCAGCCCACCAAGGGATAGAAGGCAATGAAAAAGCAAACGATCTAGCTAGAAAAGGAGCGAACACTCCACTAACTGGACTGGAACTTAAAGCGGAAATCAAGAACTTGGAATACCCCATCCGTCACCTGAAATGAGTATCCTCCAAGATAAACTTTGGTCCGGCTGATATCGGAGATGAAGAAGTAAGCTTCACATTACAGAGCTTATGTATCAGAGCTCTGTATCAGATATTTGCTTTTGTCCAAGCGACTGTATAATGAGTTATAACACAAGAAAGGGAGACACAATAGATCTGTAAGGTGGCGGTGAACTTCCCCCTTCCCCGCTTATATTTTAATATGTTGTTATAAATTATTACTACTGTATGATTTGGTTTGAAAGAAACGGCGTCCAGTTGGCTGGGAAATGAAGATCGATGACATTTCCCATATAAATTTACGTATAAAATGACAGCGATCTTCATTTCATAGCCATCGCTGACGCCGTTTTTATTCGATCATACGGTATATTCCTATTTCTAACATTAAAACATTTGTTGTTATTAAAAACTTTTATTAGTTATACTCATCATTTTATATTTTCTTCAAATACTGGCAATTGAGATAAGGTCAGAATATACAACACTATGTTGAGTCCACTTCTAATTTGCCAATTTATATTGTTCAACAGAGAATATTGTGTTATAAGCAAGATATGTTATAAGATAAGAGATATTGTCTTGTAAGCATTTTCAAGTAGGACAGAAAAGGAATTATTATACAATAATATAATCCAATATTGTTTTAAAACATAAGAGGCATTTTTACCTGAAGTATTAAATAGAACATGTCTTCAGGAGAGGTTGAAGGAAATTAAACATAACTTGGGTCTTGGGTCTTAAACCAACAATCTTAGCAATACAAAATAATAAAATTTGAAAATTATATTAGAATTTAGTAGATATTAAGATTATATTATTAAGATTAGTTTTTTATTAAATTGTATAAGAGATGCGATTGAATCAAAAATACATATGTAAAGAACTTCTTGTTCCGCTCTACCTTTGTTAACATGCATTTTGGTTGCAATATAATGATATTATTATTATAATTATTATTAATTACTACCTGGTAGATGAATTCGGCGGTTGCACTTTCTGTTTCCCTCTAGAGCCCCAACGCGACGCAAGTGCGCGGCGGGGGTCTGCTTTGAAGATTATTCGACATTTATAGTAAACTCCTTGTTTACGAATCTCCAAAATGTTAGTGTTTCTAGGCATTTTTAGGGATTGAAACACAGGTACACAATTTACGCACAACGAACCACGAACTAGCGACCCCTAAAACGGGGATAACGTAACGGACGCGGTCCAAGCGTATGGTACGACACGCTGCGAAAGAAATGAGGATATAGGGCAAACAGCAGGTAGTTCCAGGGTTGAAGATTTTGGATTTTTGGAACCGCGCAGCGTGTGGTGTGTACGTCTGAGGGAGTACTACATGTTATCTTAATTACAAGACGAGGCGGAATATAATTATACTAAAGAGTAATACAATGATAATTATTGATATCCTGCTATTTTAATAAAACAATTACAATCACATATTAATTAACAAAATATATTTCGTCAATAATATTCAAAAATTTCTTACTAAGCTTCAGCTTCTACAACGTCGGAAAGTTTTACCTCCTACGCACTCAACTTTCGCGAGACAATCCAAATCCGGATTTATTATTCATATCACGAAGCCAGATGAAGATGACTGCAAACAAAGACGTTTTTGAAGTTTGTAGAAAATTAATAAGAGCCAGGGGTGCGTCAGCGAGCAGGGGTGGCACAACGGGAAGTACGCCACATTAACCAGGGAGGGCACAAAATATAATAAGCAGAACAATAATAGGCCGGTTTACGACAATCTTTTTCTTCTTAACTTTCATTTTAATATAATATTCAATATTAAAAGAACGAAATTAAATGCTACGTAA